AGCAGAGGTTTAAAGCTAGAGATGAAAAATGATCCTAGACCTTAGGCAGTGGGGCCCAAGTAGGGGTTGAGGGAAGGCTGTGAGCCAGAAGGAGAGGAAGGGACTGCAGAGGCCAGATTGGAGGAGAAGTAGCAGAGGGGGGCAGAAAGCCTCAGACCTCAGGCAGCAGGGCTCAGAAGAGGACCAGTAGAGGCTGAGCCAGAAAACTAGTGGGACCTGGGGATGCACATCTCCCATGAGGCAGGCCACATCTCCCAGCTGGAGGCAGGGGCTCAGCCAAGATGACCCTCCATGGTCCCTGTTAGCCTTGGAGCCCCCTTGACGGGACAAGTCCCAGCCATCCACAGGCTCCTGGCCACCTCCTGCGGGTATAAGGAAGCCATCTCCCTGTGTGACGCAGACTAGGCCCGAGCTGCCCAACCAGTCAGATGAGCCTGGCATCTGGGCTGCCTGGGGGCCAGGGAGGGGCAGGGGGTGAAGGGGTGACCTGGCCCCTGGCCTGCCACGTCAGCCCATTGCCCCCAGGTATCACAGGCCTTTGGCATCTCCCCAGGAAGTTGGCTGTATCCATGGTAACCCAAGAGCTGAGAAAACCACCTTCAACATCATCTCTGTAGTATTATGATTCGTAATTATAGTAAGAGCAAGCGTTTCTTTAGGACTTCCATTTATGCCAACCGTGTTCTCAGCACTTTCCAAGTATTAACTCATTTAATTCTCATGACAACCACACAAGGAGGATTATTATTATTCCAGTTGGACAGATGAGGAAATTGAGGCACAAAGAGGTTAAGTGACTTGCACTAGGTTACTCAGCTGGGCTTTGCGTCTGCTTCTTGCTGTGCACCGTGGACAAACCACCTGTGGCTGACACAGCCACGACAGTATGGCTTTGATTGGTCTTAGGGTTCCACCTGAGCGGAAACATCCGGGAGCCAGGGGGCCCTGGTGAGCCCGAGCGCCTCTACCACGTCTCCATCAGCTTTGACCGCTGTAAGATCACATCTGTGAGCTGCGGCTGCGACAACCGTGACCTCTTCTACTGCGCCCACGTGGTGGCCCTGTCACTGTACCGCATCCGGCATGCCCGCCAGGTGGAGCTGCGTCTGCCCATCTCTGAGACGCTGTCCCAGATGAACCGTGACCAGCTGCAGAAATTTGTGCAGTACCTCATCAGCGCCCACCACACTGAGGTGCTGCCCACCGCCCAGCGCTTGGCCGATGAGATCCTCCTGCTGGGCTCCGAGATCAACCTGGTGCATGGTAAGGGTGCCTGGGGTCTGATGGGGGCAGTGAGGCCCCAGCTCACAGCCCCCTCACTTGCTGTGCACCAGGCATTTGTCACGGAACTTTCTTGTCCCTTGGATACATAGTGGGGGAGGCAGCGACCTTGCCTGCGTGATCTGAGGTCACATACCTAGTAAATGGCAGATCCTGAATAGAATCTGGCCCTGGGGCAGATGATTGGTTGGAAATTAGTTAAGGGGCAGAGGGCAAAGGCAGGAGGGGAGATCCTCAGTTAAGGGGTTCAGCCCCAGCGTGGGGCTGTCTCAGGATCACAGGACGTGGGTGTGGTGGAGGCATGAAGGGTATAGGTGAACTTTAGTGAGTGTCAGGGGTGAGGTATCCGGGGAGGAACAGGAGATGTTGTGAGGACTGGGAGCATTTGGGGGCTCCAAGGGGCTGTGTTGCCCAGCTGTAATGGTGGTAGGGCAGGGAGATGGCTGAGGAGTGGGTGGAGGCATGGATGGATGA